ATATTAGAATTAATTCGATAATTCCCCGTTCTTCCAGTATTTTATTCTGTTTTATAATTTTGTTATATAATGTTGTTAATGACATTCTTCTTCTTTGGGCGCCGTCTTCAATGAAGGTTGGCGATAACCTCAGCAAAATCATTTCTGTCCCTGGCTTTTCTTATTAAAGATTGAGAATCCAAACCAGTCCACTCACGAATGTTCTTCAACCAGGACGCCTGCCGTCTACCAGGACCACGTTTTCCTTCTATCTTCCCCTCTATAAGAAGCTGCAGTAGCGGGTATTTCTCATTTCTGTATATGTGTCCCAACTATGAGGTTTTCCGTGTTTTCATTATTTTTAAGAGTTCTCTGTCGGTACCCATCTTGTGTAGGACCTGCTCGTTGCTCATATGCGCTGTCCAGGGGACTTTCAGCATCCTTCGAAATAACCACATTTCAAAACTTTCCAAGCGCCTTAGTGAGTTGATTTTGAAGGTCCAGGCCTCCATTCCATATAGTAAGGTGCTGTAAACGTAACATTTCAGCATTCGGTATCGGATTTTGAGATTGAGTGTTTGGGACGTAAACATTTGTTTCATTTTTAAAAAGACATTTCTTGCTTGTTCAATTCGCGATTTTATTTCTATGTCTGGATCTATATCTTTCGTTATCCAGCACCCTAGATATCGAAATTTCTCGACATTTTCGATAATGTTACCATTCACGTTTAAAGCCATGGGTGGATCGATAGATGTTTTGGAGACAATCATTGTTTTTGTTTTCTTGACGTTAATGCTGAGGCCGTATTGTTCTCCGATCGATCTGACGCGATCTAAGAGTGTCTGGAGATCCTGTGCGCTCTCTGCAATTAGGACCGTGTCGTCGGCGTATCGTACATTATTTAGAACTCTGCCGTTAATTTTAACATCTTCTCTTGATTGTTCTAGTGCTCGTGCAAAGATTTCTTCCGAATATATATTGAAAAGTAGTGGTGACACTACACACCCCTGTCGTACACCTCGCTTGATATTGAATATTTCTGTGTCACCGGCTTCTGTTCTAACTGCTGCAGTTTGGTTAAAATACAGCGTTTGGATAATTTTAAAATCGTTCTCGTCTAGTCCCTTTTTGTGAAGGCAATCCATCAGCTTATCATGTTTTACTTTGTCGAAGGTCTTTTGATAGTCAATAAAACATAAAAAGAGATCCTTTTTTTGTTCTCGACATTTTTGCAGCAGTATAATAAAACTGGTTAATGCTTTCTGTGTCCCAAATCCACTTCGGAAGCAAAATTGTTCATCACTGATATCCTGTTCACATTTCTTATAAATGCGTTGGTGAATAACTTTCAAGAATAACTTTAACATATGCGACAATAAACTAATAAGTCTGAAATCACCACACTTCTTTGCTCCCTTAGTTTTTGGAAGGGGAATAAAGACTGATTTTAACCAGTTTTGTGGAATTTCACCGGTTGTATATATTTGATTAAATAATTTGACGATTATATTTAAATGTTTCTCTTCCAGTAGCTTTATGACTTCCGTATGTATGTCATCGGGGCCAGAGGCTTTCCCATTTTTTGCGTTTTTGATTGCTCTCTCTACTTCTTGTTTTAATATAGGAGGACTGGTTTCATGGTTTTTATATATTATGTTGTTTAGTGGTGTAGGTTGTTAATCTACAAGGGAGTCTTTGTTTTGTCATTCCAGCTAGATCTTTTATTTTTTTGTGAAGCGTTTGACTGTCGTGTTTCTTTATTAATTCTTCGATCTCTTGGCAGTTTTTTATCATCCAATTTTCTTTTGCGGTAGCTATTTCTTACTTGATTTGACGATGTATCTCCCTATATTTTTCATTATCTTTATTTTTGTAGGCTCTTCGAGTATCCATCATTCCCAGAATTTTTTGTGTCATCCAGGGTGTAGATTTTCTTTTGTTATTAGTGTCTTTTATATATTTCTCGGCGTTAGTAAAATCATTCTTGACTTCAGTCCATAAGCCTTCTGTAGTTGGTGATAATTCTCTTTGGAGTCTTTCACATTCCTCGTTGAGTTTAGTCTTTACCATACTTTGTATATTTTCTTGTTTAAGTAAATTGATGTCGGTTTTTCTTTTGACAGTCTTTTTTAGCATTTTGAACTTTATTTTTAATTTAGCCACTAGTAGGTTGTGATCCGATGGAACATCTGCGCCTGGGTATGTTCTTGTATCCGTTACTGCATTTTTATATCGCTGGCTTATAATAATGTAATCGATTTGATTTCGGACACAATTGTTTTTATTATCTGCGGGTGATTTCCACGTATATAGCCCCCGTAGTGGTAGCTTGAACCAGGTGTTCATTGTAGTTAGTTGTTTCTCCTGGCAAAATTGTAGTAGTCTGTCACCTCTATCATTGCGATTGCCCAGTCCGTAATTTCCACAAATATGTTCCACTTTTCCACAACCCACTTTGGCATTAAAATTTCCTACGATTAATGTTGTTTCATAACTCTTTGTCATTTTAAGTAATTCTTGGAGTTTCTCATAGAACTGCTCTATTTCATCATCCGACTTGTCAGCAGTTGGTGCATAAACTTGGAGTATGTTTATGTTTACGGGCTTACTCTGTAATTTCAAAAGAAACATTCGATGAGAATACGGTATGAAATCAATTACTGCTTGTTTTATCTGCTCTGTTACTATAAGGCCTACACCATTCCAGTGTCTCTGCTGTTCGTTCCCCGAGTAGTATATTGTGTAGTCGTCGATGGATACATTTCCAGAACCAAACCATCTCATCTCACTTATACCTAGTATGTCCACTCCAAGTCTTTTGATTTGACGAATGGTATTTTACACTTTACCGGGTTCAAACATTGGGTTTTAATGTTGGAAATACCGGGTATTAATGACATTGCTGAGCCACAATACTTCAATAATTCGTTTGGTATTCCATCTTTACCTGCAGCTTTTCTGTTCTTCATTTTTTCAAGTGGACTTCTTGTATATTTATATTAACTTCTTCATTTGTGATAATTTCTGATGTGTGTTTGTAAATAACAAAAACATCGAGTGGAAAGTTGTTTACTATAATTTATACAATATAATTTCAGACAATATTTTTTTCTTTTAGTATCCCATAAAGAACAAATCTTTGTTAATAAAGTCTGGAATAACCTTGGCTTTAGTTATATGTTTATTTTTCTTTAATTCCATACCCGCATTTCGTAAGTATTAAATAAAAGTTTAACTATATTACAGAATCTTGCACGTAAGTTTTGTAAATATGGCAACACAACTGTTGTTCCAGAACGAATTTTATTAGATGTTTCAAACGATCTTTACGAAATTCGTCCTGTAGCGAAATAATACTACACATTACATTATAAGACTAGCATAACTTATTATGAAAAGAAGTATATTTATATATCTAAATAATAAATATTCTATAAAGAAATAAATCTCTTTTAGACATTTTGTACTTTATTACAGGATCATATAATAAAGGCTGCTGTCATCTTACTCTTTCATAACTCTCTATTATCCAATATTAAAAATTTGCAGCGTTAGAATATGTATTTGATGATCATTTCCTGAGCTTATAACCCTCTTTATTCGATTTTAATTTTCTACGCAAATGTTGCCATATTTCAAAAGTTATGTAAGATGTGTTATATAAAATGCAAAATATATATAGGAAAGCTTTTATTGAAAACCTGTAATACAAATTAATATATTTTTGAGGTACACTTGGACTTGGATGGACAGCTCTTTTAGGTGTCATATTACTGCTGATTTTATACGATTCCCAAGATTTAGATGCAATCTTCGCTAGAGTTGAGTGGTCCACTCTACTGTTCTTTGCTTCTCTATTTATTTTAATGGAGGTAAATATAATATTATCATTTACATATAAATAAATATATAAAATACAAATTTTCATATAAAAGTCTCCTTTTTACTATCTACTTAATTCGCTTTTATCTGAACGTGCCTTGTTGGGAACGTGCATTTATCATCTTATATTGTTTTCTGATACCCATTCCAGAATTCTGGAAATCTATACCACATATACAGATCTAGTGGATGAATACCTACCATATGTATTTGGGGTCAGTTCGATGTCACCAAAAAGTGTTTGTCGCTTGTGTTCTTGTGTCTCGCAGGATATGTTTGGTTGCTTCAGGTTCTCGTCATAGAGTCTGCAACTTAACTGTTAATTATTGTTACTCCCAAGTGTTCAAATTCTAACACTTTTTTAAAATTATAGACACCCTCTACTCCTTTCAGTTATATAATTATGTTTGTTATCATTTATTATGTTTGCTCTTCTTTCCATACACTGCGTTTTTATTCTGCTTATTTTATACACTCTTCCTTGCTATTGAATATTGTCTGCTAGTGCTTATATTTGATCTCCTTAAGATTTATTCTAAAATAATGCTGAATAAAATCGTTGATATCGGATCCCCTTGTTGAAACCTCTATTCACTGTGAACTGCCTTTTTTGGATTTCTCGACTTCTTGGTAGAATTTTTTACCTTTTCGTTTATGAAGTCTTTCTTTATATTTTCACTTGCTTTTTTAACTGTTCTCTTTTCTTAATTTTGCAAGTTTTTTTAGCTTCTCTTCTTCTAGCTGCAAAGTCTCGGGTCTTCCCTTTGTGTTTCTACTTTTGCCTTCTTTCTTGTTGCCAAAAGCATTCCTACACTTTCCATAGTCTCTACGGAACTACTCTATGACCAAAACAGAAGAGAAAAAATTAATTGGAACACAAAAAGTAGTTTTAATATAATTTGGAAAAATACAATTAGTATTTTCAAATATAACAGATATAGGTAGTAGATAATTAAAATTTATCACATTTTTTTTAATTATACGAGAGTGGTCTTTGATATTCCAACTGAATTTCTCTTCGATGTTTAAAACTATAGTGCTATCCGGTAATCTTATAGCTACCAGGATATTTTATCAATGTTTTTATTCAACATGAATTTTAGGAAAATACCTTGATTCTTTTATTTACTTTTTAGGCACTTTCTCGTTTAGGCTTAATAGACTACATAGGCAAGCAAACTCAATACGTAATAACCTCAGTGGGACCTGAGTCAAGACTTGCTACAGCCATAGTATTGATTCTGTGGGTCTCTGCAGTAGCATCAGCGTTTGTAGACAATTTACCGTTAACCACGATGATGATAAAAATTGCCACTGATCTTTCACATAATGAAGAATTACATTTGCCTTTACCTCCGCTGATCTGGGCTCTTTCTTTCGGATCATGCCTTGGAGGTAAACTGTCTATATATTTCTATCGATTATAAAACATTCTCTTTAAAATATAAAATATTATTTAGACACCATCAATAATTATTAAGCTTTAACACCTGCAGTAGGACGAAATCTCGATACTATAAATACAGTAAGGTCTCGTTGTATGTGGTGTATACGTTCCACAGAATAGCGCATAGAAAAGAATCGCATAAAAAAGACATTACTACAAAAAGCAGGGATGTGTTCCGCGGCCTTTTAAAATTACATGAAACCAAGACAATACCAAACAAAGTTTGCAGACATAAAAGAAATGGGTTGCATGATAAATTCTTTCGAATATCTTAAAGAAATGCACACAAAAGCTTAAACAAACTTGTATTCAAAACTTAATTAATTTTATTTTATGGGAAAGTAATAGGTACATATAGTTTTAAATTTACATTTTTAATCATTATCGCTATCTGTTAATGGTTTGCACCGTTTGCGTAGTAGCTCAAATCATCTTCATCGTCAGAAGAAACTCTCTGCAATAGATATTTGCGGTAAAGGCGATGGATTTTCACAAATTTCATTCTCGTTCTGTGTAGCTATTACGTTTCTGACAATGTAATCATACATGATACAAATACAAACAGATAAGATACCGCGCATGTGGGCGTGGCTTATGCATGACTTTTGTGACGTCAACTTGTGCTAAATTTCGCCATATGTGTTTTGACGTTTATGTACATTTACTGTTCATAGCCAATATTTAATAAAATAATATTCTAAAAGTATTACGAGGCTTTAAATTTTTCCCGATATGAGGTGTGCAGTGTATGGTTGTGCCATTGACAATATGTGCAAGAGTTTTGTACCCGCTACAGCATTTTATAGCTTTCCAAAAGACAAGGAAATGCAAGCTGTTTGGAAACATTTGTGTAAACGCCAGGATAATTTTAATGTTAAATTTGCTCGTGTTTGCTCTAAGCCCTTTTGTTGAAAGTGAATGAAGTGATGAATCGGTCATTCAGGTTGGTAAAATATAAAACATAAGTCAACTACTTTATAAGTTTATAAAAGACGTTTCGCTTTATACTTCTAAAGCTTCATCAGTTCTAACTCAATATGTAGTATTACTAACACTCACCAGTGTTTTGTTTTTCTTTATTGGAAAACCATCTTTAAATGAAGCCAAATGTACGTTTAAAATTTTGTTAAATCTTCGTTTCTGCGAATATTATTTTTTGCAAAGTTTTTGTGTCCTTTGTTTCTGTTTTTTTAAGTTAGTTCTAAATAATGAGTAAACTTAAGTACATATATAATAACATCTTTAATACTACATATTTACTACATATTGAGTTAGAACTGATGAAGCTTTAGAAGTATAAAGCGAAATGTCTTCTATAAACTTATGAATGAAGTAGTTGACTTCTGTTTTTGATTTTGCCAACCTGAACGACCGATTAACCTCTGACTTCACTAGTTGAATACATATATATATATATATATATATATATATATATATATATATATATATATATATATATATATATATATATATATATATATATATATATATATATATATATATATATATATATGTAGGTGGGAGATTAAATAATTATAACCATATTTTAGCATATCCTGAAGAAGCTAATAAATTTTTGTGAAAGCTAAATAAATAAAAGAACAAAGAGTTTTACTTATTCTGCCCTATTAATGACTGCAACCTCAAAAGAAATAGTTTACCTATCGTGTCAGTCAATAATACCTAATAAAATATATATTGTATGAAAATCACATTCCATAGTTTGCAATTTGTGGCATTCGGCCATGGCTCCCTCCATCAAACTTCACTCTTATGGGAAAATTATTATTCTTTACAATATACTAATTTAAATACTTAAGCTTAAATTCACGTAGTAAATAAAACATCTAGTAAATTATAGTAGAATTTCAACAGTTCGTTTCATCCGCAAGCATGAATACATTTTGAAAATTTAGCACAAGGTGACGTCATGCGCGTGAGTGTACGAGTTTAGTGCGTGGCAATATCATATCTGGTATCCTTATATCATGGTAATCATAAATAAACTTTGGGATTAGAAAACGTAATTTCTTCCACTAGATTAACTGACGGCTGTAGTGTTTATACCGCAGAGGTCCAAGCAATACTTGATGAAATGAAATCCTGCTTGCTGTTGCAGCTCAAGTGGTTCATATTCGTTTTTAACTAGGGTTTTTATAACTTATCCATACAATCTACTGACAGTGCTGGTCACTGAGATGTATCGGTAGTTTTTGCAGGCTGTCCTAGTCTGTCTAGTTTATTCTTGGGTTTTTATTTGGTTATACTTTATTTACAGCTATTCGATGATCCTATATACCCATAAGACGTATCTTATTAGCCATTAAGAGGTATCGTATAGCAGATAAGAGCTTACCTGTGCAATTTATCCTGTGTCTAGTATTTTTCGACTCAGACCTATAGTCTTATACTGGTGCAGTATGGAGTGGTGTACAATTGCATCAATTTATAATTGACAATAGACTAAAGACGTGACGGTACAAAGCAGATTACTGTACTGTGCGAATTAATGGAAGCATAGGCTGTTTTAATGAAAAACCAGTTTATTAAAAAAATATATATTATGACAAAACTATAAAGGTAAACTTATATCATTTAGTAGGAAATATGTCCTCCTTTGGCTGCAATTACTGCTTTTACCCGTTTTGGCATAGATTCTATGAGCTTCGGAGTTTCCAGATAATCTTTCATGTCGAAACCAAAACTGAATGATCGCTTCTATTATTATTTGTTTTTGTAGTAGTCGATTTTGGATGTTAGATCGAGATTAATGTTTTAGATTACCGGGCCAATCTAAAATTGATCTTTTTATAAAAATTAATTGGAAAATCCCAGTAGTTGGCTGTATACTATAGTTTAAAAAACTTATACAGAAGTAAAACACTTCAATTTGTATACCTAGATACAAATTGAAGTATGTATTCTACTTCTGTATAAGTTTATTAATCTTTTAATCTTTTAAAAAAATTCTATCATTTTCTTGGACTTATGACAGGGAGCAGAGTCTTGTTAAAGAAATGCTTCTCCTTAGGGCTGACATTTTTAAAGTTCTGTGTTCAAACGTTGTTCCAACATGGATTTGCATTTGTGGCTGTTCATCATGCCGTCGATTGGTACCAAAGATGATGATACAAAACGTCCATGTATGAAAAACATCCCCAAAACATTTTATTGATTGAATGTTTTACGGTTTGATTAATATGAGATGGTGTAAGGTTTTTATTGTCAGATTTTTTGATAAATTTCGACCGCTGTCGCTTAACTATAAAGCAAGTTCCATTTGTAAATATTACTTTTATTTAGTCGTCTACAGTCCAATTAGAGTATTTTTTGACCCATAATAGCCTTTGTTTTTTAAATCGTTTAGTTAGAAGCTGTTTTTTCTCCGAATGCATTGCCCTTATACCATCCTCCAAAAGTCTTTTCCGAACAGTTGAGTCATAAATCACCATATCTGATCCTGCTAGATCTTGTTGGAGCTCTTATCTTGTGTTTCTTGGGTCCAATTTGCTCTTTAGAAGTAAAATCTTTCACTTTCTGCTGTTGTTTTTCTCTTTCTTCTTTACCTAAACTTTTCACATCCGTTGATCTTGTTTCTCATTTACACTTCAAAATCTTGTTTACTACACCCTGACTGAGTCCACATGTTTTTGTGATTTCTCTTTTTAACATAGAAGTTCATGATAATAATGTTTAAAATGCTGTGTAATAATGCATAAAAATAATGTGTACAATGTTTTTCTACTTTTAACAGTATTTGTATGAGGTTTTTAATCTCGATATAAACATTCTTGTGTTTTAGGAAACGGTTCCCTTTTTGGTTCATCATCGAATATTATCTGTGCAGGAGTTGCAGAGCAACATGGGTACAGATTTAGTTTTTTGCATTTTACCAAGTAAGTAATCTAACTTCTTGAATTTTATATTTCCTATGGTACATGGGATTTTTCTTGTGTTATTATATTGAACAATATATCCATTAAGTTAAAGTGAAGACTTAAAGTTGTGCTATTTATTTTAATGATTAGGCGTCTTTACCTGGAAAACACATTGTTTCCCTTTACATCAGCTAATTTAATTGACCATGTACCTTAGTGGAAATAAAAACTGATTAATCTAAAATTTTTTAATTCAAATCATTTATAAAAGTTATATAATAAAATACCCAAACGGGCTATATCACAATTACATTACAGAACGTTTTCGGAATGTAAATTCCATCATCAGTTTAACGAAGTATACATGATATAAGTTACTAAAATATATGGGTAAAATCCAGTTAAATGTTGTTAAAGTTTTGTGACATTATACCTATATTATTATAAATTAAGATATTGAAGTTACCGTTGAAATTGGTAACATGGCAACGTATGACTCTACATGACGTAGATAATTATGTAGATGTAGAGTCATCTGTGGGACCCAGAAGTAGAGATTAAGATCCGAATTTAAATAGCAAGATCCAAATTCATCAAAATGAGTAAGCTCTTAAGCAACCGCAACCTAAGCATTAACCTCCGATGGCGCGCCACGAAATGCTACGTACTCTCTACGCTACTTTACGGCGTAGAAGGGTGGACGTTAACAGCAGCAACTATAAAGAAGTTAGCAGCTCTGGAAATGTAGCTGTATCGACGCATACTGAGAATACCTTGGACAGATAGAATGACCAACACAGAGGTATTAAGACGAATGGGTAAAGAGGTGGAATTGTTAACAACTGTTAAAAGGAGGAAAGCGTCATACCTGGGCCATGTGTTCCGTAATGATAAGTACAGTCTGCTACAGCTTATCGTGGAAGGCAAGATTGGAGGTAGAAGAGGCTTGGGCATAAAGAAGAAATCCTGGCTGAGAAACTTGAGATAATGGTTTCAAATACCAGAAGCTGCGAACATAATTCATGCGGCACAAAACAGAGAAACCTATCGTATGATGGTCGCCAACCTTCGGTAGAAGACGGCACATAAAGAAGAAGAGTCATCTGTATGATGTACGAAAAAAGTAAGAAAATCAATGAAGAAATCTTACAAAGAGAGGATCGAAAAAGGAGAGAACATTTAAAAGAAAATATAAGAAATAAAACACAGAAATAAGTAAACAAGCTAAATGATAAAAGAAACTATATAAAGGAGATGCTTGAAATATTAAAAAAAGCGACCACCTACGAACACAATACACAATCATAGGAAACTTACCAGAAAGAGCACAAAGAAATATATCTCAGAATAAAACACGTTTGTTCTCAAAACTTCCACAAATTTCTGCAGAGTGCCTTTCTCAAGTGATCTGTTTGTAATATGAGTTTACATTTTATAGTCTTAAGCTGAATAAGTTAGGGAGGGAAGAACTGTTGGTCTCAAGTTGATCATTTAGATTTATGTCTGATAAATTCTAATAAACATAGCTTAAGGTCTATATTTTGAATGTAAAGAATTTGAAACTGGTCAATAAAAGAATGATTATGGTCTCTAGAAGGTGTAGTGTATTTAATTTTCTATTACTGAAAGCCCTTTTGTGTTCTGATATCCGTTTGGTAAAAGTTCTACCAGTTTGACCTAAGTTTGTGGGCAGTCGCTACATTAGAGTTTGTATTTGTTTATATTTGATTTGTTTTTGCACGTTTTGTGTGTTAATAATACAATTTCTTTTTTTAAGAAAGTTAAATAATTACAAAACGTTTTATATTTTTTTTTTCTTTTTTTTTTCAGAGTTGGATTACCAGTGATGATAACAAGTACCATAATCATAACTATGTACTTACTAGTATGTCATGTAATTCTAGACTGGCAGTAAAATCTTTCAATCCTCTCATGATAAATTTTATCAATTGTTTATATTTTTTGTTTAAAAAATGTATATGTGTGGAATTATGGAATACCTAGTTAATCTAGTATATTTTAAATAAATGTGTATTTTATTTTAATTTTTTAGGTTGTCTTTATTATTAAGTTACATTTTTTTAACAACAAAACCAGCAGAAGTTTTAAGGCCTAGTGCCTGTTTTTTCTTTTATTATTTAAATAATAATCTTTTAAATTTATTTTGTTTTTAACTATACATAAGTGGACAAGGTTCTGAAACTAATTTTTAGTGGCATGTCTAATGTAACCCATATATTCCCATGTAAACCCATATAAACCCCTATAATCCCATATAAACATAATATTTAGACATTAGTGATTACTATCATGAACAAAATTGAAGCAATGTAAATATGGGTTCATAGACGAATGCTGAAAATACCTTGGACAGCAAGAAAAACTAATGAAGAAGTACTAAGGAGCGTCAACAAAGACAGAGAACTGCTAAACATCGAAAAATGTCTTATCTGGCACATTTAGTAAGGGGAAGTCGATATAAAATTTTACACCTGATCCTTAAAGGCAAAATAAAGGATCGTAGAGGTGTAGTAAGAAAACAAATTTCTTGGTTACAAAACATTCGTGAATGGACTCAGATACCAAATGCAGGACAATTATTCCATATTGCAATAGATCGAGAAGCCTTGGCAATGGTGATCGCCTTCTTCTTCTTCTTAAAGTGCCCTCTCCTCAATGGAGGTTGGCTACTACAATTTTAAACTCTTCTCTATCTTCAGCTGTTCTTATTAGCTGTTCAAAATTTAGCCCTGTCCATTGTCGGATGTTTCTGAGCCATGACAGTCTTTTCCTTCCTAGGCCTCTCTTTCCCTCGATTTTTCCTTTCACTATAAGTTGGGCATATTGGTACTTATTATTTCTCAGTATGTGGCCTAGGTATGATGTTTTTCTTACTTTTACTGTGTTAAAAAGTTCTCTTTCCTTGCCTATTCTATGCAGCACTTCTTCGTTTAAGGTATGCGATGTCCATGAAATTTTGAGTATTCTCCGGTAGATCCACATTTCAAAGGCCTCCAATTTATTTACGGTTGATGTTTTAAGGGTCCACGTTTCAACTGCATATAGAAAAGTCGACCAGACGTAGCATTTTGATAAACGTAGTCGAATTTCGAGTTTTATTCGAGAATCACAAAGCAGTTTTTTTATTTTTTCGAAAGATTTTCTAGCCTGTTCTATTCTCGATCTTATTTCTTGATCAGGATTTAGGCTGCTATCGATCCAACATCCCAGGTACTTAAATCTATTGACCTGTTCTAAGATGTGCCCATTTATTGTGCAAGGTTGAGGTACGTTTTGGTTTTTTCGGATTGACATCACTTTGGTTTTTTTAATGTTTATTTTCATACCAAATTGCTCACAGGTCGAGTTGGTCTTGTCGATGAGTCGTTGTAGACCTGAGTCGGAATCCGCAATTAACACTGTATCATCGGCGTATCTGATACTGTTGATATTTACGCCATTCACCGTGACTCCATCCATGGAATCCTCCAATGCTTCTTTAAATAGAAACTCGGAGTAAAGATTAAACAGCAGAGGTGACAGAACACATCCCTGTCTAACTCCCCTCCTAATTTCTACTTCTGCGGATGTGGAACCTTCGATCCTAACTCTGGCTTTTTGGTTCCAGTACAAGTTTTTTAAGAATTTGATGTCTTTTCCATCTAAACCGACTTCTTGCAAACGTTCTAATAGTAGGTCGTGTCTTACTCTATCAAATGCTTTTTCTAAGTCTATAAAGCATATAAATATATCTTTCTGTTGGTCGTAGCATTTTTGGGCGAGAACTAGTAAACTGAACAGGGCTTCTCTCGTTCCCATGCCGGCTCTGAATCCAAACTGATCGTCTCCGATAATTGTTTCGCACTTTCTATAGATACGATTATGTACGATTTTTAGTAGGACTTTTACTGCATGACTCATAAGGCTTATCAGACGGAACTCATTGCAGTGTTGTGGGTTTGGCTTTTTTGGTAGTGGGATGAATATTGACTCCAGCCAATCTTGGGGTATTTTACCTGTATCATAAATGCGATTCAATAAAAGGACAAATAATTCGATATTTTCTTCGCTGATTAATTTGAGCGTTTCTGGGTATATTCCGTCTGGACCTGGGCTTTTATTTGATTTGAGATGATTAATTGCATTTATGATTTCAGATTTTAGAATTGTTGGCCCTTCGTTGTTATTTTCCAATCTTGGTTCTTCTCGTATGTCGTGAAAAAGAATTTTAATATAGTTTTCCCATTCTTTCAGTTTATCTTCCGTTGATTCTAGCAGTTTGTCATCCGTGTTCAGCATGGTGTGAAAAGTCGTTCTCTTGGTAGTCGATGTAAACTCTTTTACCTTTTTATGTAAATTAAAAAAATCGTGCCTTTGTTGCAGTTCTTCTATTTCAGCGCATTTTGTTTCCAGCCATTTCTCTTTTGCTTCGGTTATTTTTTTTCGAATTATTCTATTTAGTCTTTTGTATTCTCCGTCCTTGTCATTTTTTCCTTTAGATTCTCTTCGTTTGTTCATTAATTGTAAAATCTCTTCTGTCATCCATTCCTGTTTGTTATTTCTAGGTGTTACTTTTAGATGTTTTTCCGTTACATTGTTCATTTGTTTTTTAATAGTTTTCCACAGAACGTTTATGTCATCGTACTCGCTAATTCTGTTGTGGTCGATATTTCCTAAATTTTTGTTTAATTCTTTATTTACTGTCTGATGTATGGTGTCGTTTTTCAATATTTGGATGTCTAATAGTTGGTGTTGAGGTTTTTGTTTCTTTATTAGTTTCCATCTTGCGCGAACTTTTGCAACAACAGGATTATGATCGGAATTGATGTCAGTTCCAGGATATGTTTTTGCACTGATGATTGCATTGTGATATCTTTTGTTGACCAATATGTAATCTATTTGGTTACGGATTACTCTGTTTTCATTGTGTTGTGGTGAAGTCCAAGTGTACAATCTGCGAGGGTGTAATTTAAACCATGTATTTGTCACTACCATGTTGTGTTGTTGGCAGAATTCGGTCATTCTCTCTCCCCTGTCGTTCCTTGCTCCAAGTCCGAAGTTTCCGATCAATCCAGAAACTTTTCCTCTACCTAACTTAGCATTAAAGTCACCTAAGATAAATGTTAGGTCTCGTTTTTTGGTCATCTTTATTAGTTTTTCTACGTCAGCATACCACGCTTCTAACTCTTCTATGGGTTTATCGGCCGTAGGGGCATAAGTTTGAATGATGTTAATATTTACTGGCTTTCCGGATAGTTGAATAAGAAGACATCGGTCCGAAAATGGCACAAAGTTTGTGACGGCATGGTTATATTTGTCTTCTAAAATTACTCCAACCCCGTTACGATGAACCGGATCGTTATTACCCGAGTAATAGAAAGTTTTGTTCAGGGTTTTACCTTTACCTGAACCTGGCCATTTAACTTCACTCAAACCCAATATCTGCAACCCTAAACGTTTCATTTCGTGGCATGCATTTGCTAGTTTTCCTGTTTCGAACAGACTTCTAACGTTCCATGTTGCAATCTTAAAGTTTGTATTTAAAATATTTAGGCTATTTCTCCCGGGGATTCTTCGCACCCCTTGATCATCTAAGATCTGCCGGGGACTAGGGGCCAATTCTGTTTGTGCTTTCATTGTAGTTTTCTTGGGAAATATATACCAGAGTGGTTTCCCGTTGCCTTCTCTGGTTTGTATTTTAGCCGATCCTCTGGACACAGACGCTATTTGCAGCCGCCCACTCTGGGTCAGACGCTGCGTGCTAGTTTGATCCTTACCAGCTTATCCGCCCGAAGCCGTTGGACAGCAAGTGGGAAATCGCTTATACCGGCAATTGCTCGGTAAAAATTTTCGCCATATCTGGCTATCCTCACTTAGTTTAGCCTGCAGACCAATGCAGTTGCCCGGGGTGTGGCACGTGGAGCCATAAGTGAGAGTTAGTTGTCTTATGAGGACCAGTTAGCAAGAACCATCTCCCGTCTATGACGCTCGATGTGGTGATCGCCAACGTCGGATAAATCTGATATGGCATGCGAAGAAGAAGAAGAAGTGATTACTTACTTTTGTATAAGTGAACTAAGTGTACTAATAAGTGAACTTTGGGCAAATTTAAATTCTCAAATTTTTTCACCATACAGTCTATCTATCATCGCTGGTTTCGTCTATTCCTTTTAGAAAAATTGCCCTCGTGATTTCATCGTAGGACGTGTTATCGAATGCTCCGTCTATATCGAGAAATGTACTTAACACCATCTCTTGGTTTTCCAGAACGTACTCCATCGTCTGAACGAGATGGTGCAGTGCCGGTTTCTATAAAGAGTTCTCCACGATAAACATACTGCCCAGCTGAATTGGACTTTCAACTAATACACCATCCATAATATGCCTATCGAGGAGTTCTGGAGTCAGTACCCCAGAACTAATTCAGTACGAATGACATAAACTAGACTTTTGATCGCTCAAAGATGATAGGAACGAGCGTGACAGTGATAATGATAAACATCATTTATTTGATTTTTCAGATATTGTTTCGTTTTTTCAATTTTTTGAGGAGGAAGAGAGATGAAGTATATTGGCGTGAGAGGGTTATGGTTCAATATGTAAGGGAATATGTAATCATCTTTTTTGGTCGAAAGAAAATGCAAAAAAGTATTTTTGAAGTGTGTATATTTAGGCAATTTAGCTATACACACTTCAAAAATACTTTTTTGCATTTTCTTTCGACTTGTCATAAGTGTGTACAAAAAAATATCAGTCTTTTGATCATCTTTTTTGGGCAAAAATTATTCTTTATTCATCAACATTTAGCGGCGATACAATCAGTCCATGGCTTTTCTAATTTTTCGATGCTGCCCTTATAAAACGATTTATGTTTGCCTTCAAAATAGACTCCCGTTTCGGTGATTATTTTCTTAT